CAGGCTGCCACCGAGTAGCCTTACAAAAGTGGCTTCAGCATCCGGTGCAAGCATATCACGCGCTCTCCGCAGAGCTTGACAATATGAAATAGCGGAAAGATTTGTGCCGTCGTATGAGGGTAATGAATCTAAGGCGCGATTGATAGACATGTTTGTCGCATCTATCCTTTCAATTGCGGCGGAAAGTGAGTTTGAGTTGTCGGGGACGCGTTGATCGTTTAAACGGAGGGAGGCTAACCTTTGTCTTTCTTCTTCGAGGGCTTCGCGTTCGCGTTCAAGTTCTTGTCTTTCTGATTCTAATTGTTTCCTGTCTTTTCTGATTTGTCTTTCTTCGTCATGGAGCCTCTGATGGAGGCCCGTTGCCTCATTGTCTGTCGTGTTTGATTGTGAGCGTGTCGTTGCCATGATTATGCAAAAGTACGGCGCGGGGGCGAGTTAAAATATCGTAAGGGGATTGTCAAACGTTACTGTCACCAAATTTATTGCTTGTCACCAAATTTATTGTTACGGTCTATCGGTTGTTACCAAATTTATTGTTACCGAACCGTCGTAAGGGATTTTATGATCGTACCGAAATATCGTAAGGGATTTTTCTCGATCCCACCGCTGTCACCAAATTTATTGTCACGTTTCGGGATCAAGCTTTGATAAAAAAAAACCAAATCGCGGAAACGTAGCTAGGTAGTAGGCCCCTTTTGGTCAATCGGCTCGTACGTCCGATTCTACACGGGACGCGCGGTACTTCTGACTAAAATCGCGAGTATCTTGTATCTCGGTTCACAATAAAGATAAGAGTAAAGGACAGCCTTTGGTTTAGTTAGTTTCGGCCTCAACAACTCATTCCGTATCATAAACCTTGGCTTTTCCGAAGAGACCACGAGGCAAACAAGCGACGTCTCGCTACGTCATACACCGTGAGCGCGCTGGAACCCCTCCTAGTCCCCTTCTGGATTGCTAAATTTCCATAAACGCGCTTCCGCGTCGGAAAAGTGCGCCAAAAGCGCGAGTAACAGACGAAAATAGTCCC